CATTTTACACAACAAGTATTATAATGTAAGCCTTACTCTTTTCATGTAGCCTATTTTATGGTAGACAGGATAATTTCATTTTATAGGCTAGGCCTACTGTTTGATTTTCCACACACAACATTATAATTCTGCATAAATTTCTTTTTGTGTGTGTATTATACATATGATGTATTAGTAGGTGTATAGTTCATGATGTGTAACTAAATAAGCATACAATGCTATATTATGAATTAAATGTTAACTCAAACTTACCAAAAAGTGTCAAGTCTGCGTAGAATTTATTCGTGTAAGTATATGTTAACGATAAAATTACCAGTTCGGCTAGCAGACGATAGGTGCGTATATCAACGAAAAATTGTCATTATTTGCACCTTTACGTGAGCAAAGTGTGACCTGCGCAGTGAACGCGGCGGACAAACAAGCAAGCAAACAAATAGACAAATATATTTTGAGTTTTACATGTAGATATCATCGACAATGCCTAGTGTTGTAAAGGTTACTCTATTGTCTAAGATGAATATATTGAAGGATTATATTTTGGCACTAAGTTTTTTTTTTTCAATCATAGGAAATGATAATTATTAATTCAGTGTCAACATTTTTATAATTATCCCGGGAGTATTGTTTTCACTCCTCTGAGTGTATCTGAGCAGTATAACTCGAAATGTTTTCATCTGGAATTTGTCAAATTTTGTACAAAGTTTGAATATTCTTCTAAGATTAATTGATCAACGTTTGGTAATTGGGGGCTATAGGTCAACCACTTTTGTTATAATAGTAGCAAATTATAATCTTGGGAAAGCTGCCAAAACTTGAGAAAAAAGTGATATTAAAATAAGGTCTTGGTACCTAGAGACCTATTTTTTTGAGAACGAAGACTGTTTGGTGCATGTTTTAGATTGGCTACTGCAAAAAATTAAAATACCTCTTTGCCTTTCTATTTATATATTACCAGAAGTAATGGACTTAAAAACACTAATAGTCTAGCAACATAGTAATTTAACGATATAAAATTACTCCCTATTCTTAAATGTTGCACATCTTCTATTATTAACATACAAGTTGTTTAATGTAGTGCTTCTAGAAAAGATAATAATACGTACTTGATTTAGCAAAATATAATCGAAATTAAACATGATAATTTTAGTATAGAAACTTACCCACTGTTGTCTTCCCTCGAACGATCTCCTGATAAATAGTGAAATAAAAATAAAATAACTGGAATAGAAATAAAGCTATTTATATCTGTTTAAATGCATTGTTCAGTTTTATTATTTTGTATGTGTCTTAAGTATGACGTCCTACAATCATACAATTGGTTGTTTGTAGTTAAGCACAACGAACTATCTGTGCTTTGCCCACCACGGGTATCGAAACACGGTTTTTAGTGCTGTAAGTTCGCTATGCTACAATAATACACTGAAGTGAAGTGCGTCTTTACGTTAAGTATTCCCATCTAAACAATTTAGAAACAGTATTCTAAGTCGAAGAATAAAGTAATATTTTACGTATTAATCTAATAAAAATAAAATAAAAGCGACACATTTTACATTTGGAAATTAAATGAAATTGCGAAACTATAAATTACAAGTGTTTTTGGTCTAGCTTTTAGTATAAAAATATCTGAAACAACAAACGTGTAAATACTTACTTGTTTTCCTGTGAGAGTGAGTCCGGAATCGTATGTGAATAACAATGATTATTACAAGAACAACTGCTATCAAGGCAATGAAACTTGTTCCAATGATCACGAAAAGGGGCCCAAACGGGAAATCCCATTGTTGCTCTAATGACATACATAAATATAAAAAAAAATACTGTAAATATAGTGACATAATTGATAAATAGCTATTCATTATTGCTAAAAGTAGATTAATGAATATATATATATATATATAATAAGTAGCTGAATGAATAATAAAATAATTCCGCCATTGATATAGATATAAGTATAGTGAAAGTATGCTTATATGAATATTTAAAATTCTTACCTAAAAATATTTGTAGGATGTTATGAATGTTAATTATAGCTTTTTCTACGTACAGTTTTTCATCGCATAAGATGGCGATAACTGAATAAATTGATGTACTGTTTTCTGGAAGCACGTGGGTAGTGTTGATAGCTCTATATTTTAGCTCGTTTTTGAACTTCGTTGATAACAACGTTATGTTATTATTTCATTATGAAATACACCTCAAACGTATCTTTTGTGCTTTATTTTTAACACCACTTTTGTATTTTTAGTAGTTAAAAATAACCATAATGCAAGTAATATAAGTTAAAATATTCATTTACTTTTAAAATAATCACCAAAGAAAAAAAAATGCACGAAGTGAGATGATGAAATAAAAAGCATAATATTAGAACATAAAAAGCAGAAAAAATTCTTGTTTTGTATTTACGCAAAATAATATGTCATATTGTTATAATACGTTTATACGTTAGAGTGATTTGGGAAAAAAAGAAACTGAAGTTCAATTGAAACGTCATGGAACCAATTGAATACTTAATAGATTTTAGGCAAAGGTCGCCAAACATATATTCTTCAAATGAGAATCATCGTAAAAATAAAAGTTCTTCAGAAAATGTTACTTATGCACTTCTAAATAACTTTCTTAATCAATAGATTACATATAAATAATAACATCATATATATATATATATGTAAAAAATATCTAGCCTTAAATTTTTCACAACAAAATACTGCAAAAATTTAAATGGCAGTTTGTCTTATGGTCACTGATATCACTTATTACGATGCCTATATAAATTTTAATTCGGTAAGAATGAATTAATATCAACGAAATCTAAATAACGAATAAAATAGTTTAGTACGTAGTAAATAATTTTCTTGAAGTCCCAAAAAGTAACAGTATCACGACATTATTTTTTTTTAATTTAGACAATTCGGTCTTTTGATTCCAATGTTTTGTACTAAAAATGTGTAAAACGTTGAGAAGCCAGTTACACGTTAAGTAGACGAGTATGATAATACCTAATAAATTGTAATAATATACACATTAAGGGATGTTTTAATAAGTATTTGTTTTTGAAGAATAGTAATTCGATTCAAATATATATTGACAATTATTTTTTCGTGAAATAAATTAACAAAACCATAAGCAATTTTATGATGCCGTGAGAGAACACCAGTTTATTGAAATCAAAATAATGCTTTATTCTTTTAATATTTCTGATATTCATGCGATTCTTTTAATAACGTTAAAAATCTGTGTTGACTGTATGCTGCATTAGCGAAAAAGTGATTATCTAATTAAACTTCGCAAACTGATTTATTATGCAAGCGTTTGTCACGTATATACGTTGTTTTTATTACATTAACATTAAGAGAGAGGAAAATTAAACAAAGCCAAAAAATCTAATACTTTAGTTAACATTTGTTTATAAATGATCACGTACATTAGAATACAACGTGGGACAGTAAAAGACTAAGTTGATAATTATGAGTATAAAACATAACGCATATATAATGAAATATTTTATTTTATTTTTCTATGTTAAAGGTTGATCACTCTTAAGCACACAGTGGATTTGGTCTTGATATGAGAGAGAGATATAGTGAAGGTTATGAACAAAATGCCAAATTTATAAGAGTTATATCAAACCAAATTACTTATTGTTAATTGACACTCCCTATAATTTTTACTACAATACATCTTATTTGATTTATAATTATAATATAATTATATAATTTATAAGTGTGATATCAAACCAAATTATTTACTTTTTTATGGAGTGTCAATTAACTTTTTTTTTACTACAATACATCTTTTTTTATTTTTAAGAAAATCCTACATTGTTTTGAGGATGCTATTTCTTCAGTCGGTATGAAGAAATCAAATACATACTTAATGTCTTAGCTTAGACTTTGTTTATAAAGCTCAAAAGTAAGAAATTTGCTTCAATAGTACAAAATTCAGCATTTGATCAGATGCGTTTATATAGCTAGAAAACATTAGGAACTATCACTTCTTGATGATATTCTGATTTTCTTCATCCTTCATTTTCATAAAAAAATTGATAAGACGTCTGAATAAAGGACGTAACATTCTTTGTAGGTAAAGTTAGCAACTTTAAACTTCAAACTTAGTTCTATGTCTATCAAACGACTACATTGTTATACTAATAAAAGTAATTTACTAATTGTTCCAATACTGTTTAATACTCAATGAGTAAGCTCTTTTTTATTCAGTAGCTTTCTTTATTCATTGGACCTTGTTAAAGTTTTAAGCCAATTGAAACGAATAACAATGTTAGGTGATGTTCAAATACACTTTACTTAATGAGGTATCTTAAGTTAGCATGTTCTTTAATTCACGTTAATAGTTTTATTTTAATAGAATCAATGTAGCTTTGCTCACAGAAAGGACAAGCAAATTTATAAACTGCATATGATGGTTGTAAAACGGAAATCTGCTCCTTAAATCAAACGAAAAACGAAATGTGACAATTAGGTTTAAACTCACATCTGAACTGTACCTGCGGAATACCTTTCGAATGACATTTCCAAATGATCCTTAATGATTATAGAGACTTACCCATGTAGGATAGACAGATGAGAACAGGATATTTTGGTACTTAAATTGTACATAGTAAACTAACACTTCAATCATTTAAATAATTACGAAGTATTCTATTTCATAGAAAATCATATTTCTTGATGTTATTAAATTCTTTGCGTAAAGATCTAATACGTGGTATATATATGTTATATGCAAGATGAAATATTTGACTAAGTTTTACTTTAAAATATTTGGAATGAAACTTGCAACGTTGAAATACAAGCCTGTAAATGTCTTCTTATAACACACAATTGACAGTTATTATTACTAATTGAAATGTCCAAAAAAGAAAATATACGATCCTGTTGATGTTTCTTGCTACTACATCTACTATTAAAATAGTGAAGAAACAGGGACGCTGGATAAGAATTCATGAAGACGGTAAAATTGTTATCAACATACCTTCGATAATTCAGAGACTTAAACTCATTTGGGCAACTTTCTATTCAATATCTTTCAAGAACGGCAACGCCGTCAACCAGATCACAGTTTTCTATTCTTTTGTAGCAAAGCTCGTCAATTTCAAATATACAGATTTGGGAATGGCCAACAGATTTGTTTGAAGTGTCGTGGTAAAGCAGATCAGCATTTAACTGCATTGTTTCTTTTAAAACTATATATATATATATATAATAATTCTACATCAAAACTGGCACAGTGTACACTACTGTCAAACTTCAACTGTTGTATTTCATGAGAAAACTGAAAACCGGCTTTTAAAGGGTACTCATTAATGATAAACGTCTTCAGAAATTCAACTGAGAAATCGGCCAATACATGGTTATTGGTTCCGATGTTAGAAACTATTGGTCGCAAAAGGCATCCTTCTCTATGAATTTTAGGCAAACCATAAAGAATACCTGAATGACGTCCTTATATGTGTTGCCATCTCTAATTTTGAGCTGACAAATAACACAGAAATCAACTAGTCCCCAACACCCACCGCCAATTCTTGAGCTACTATAATCGACTAGGAGGATTTGATTACCAATATTTTAACGTACTCACGAGTGAAATTTTGTGTCAGTGAGGCTCGAACCACGGACTCTCGGATTCAGATACACCACGCTTAGCCCAGAAAAGCCTACCCTTACATTTATTATCCTTTTGACACACCGATCTTTATGAATTCACACTTAAATTATTATCATACCTTAGGTAAACGAAAGTTTGCAAGAAATGATTAATTATGAATATTTCTTTCTATTTATGGTGGGCATAGCACAGATAGCCCGTTGTACAACTTTGCTTTTAACAACAACAACAAACAAACAAGGTAAGTAAATGTTTTAGTATTCACATAATAAATACAATATATATATTTAAGACTGGGTGAATTTAGTAAACAAATCGGAGATTGCTATTAAAGGCTTTATAGAATATTAACTTATGGATAACATGTAGTTGACAAGATTAAAAGTGTAAACCACCGTTTTAAATTACGAGTCTTACACTTTAAAATAGCTTACTATAGAATATAATATACTATGTTTTGACTTCAATATTTCATTATTCGACATCTCTGAGAAGCACATCATAATTTCTATAGCTTTACTTTTGTTCTTGTGAAAGTATAAGCTCGTTTATGCTCTTAATAAAATAGTTTTTCAAAGAATTTTGAAATGGTTCACTTTATTATAGAGATTTATGGATCATTATAACCCGCTTCCGCTTATTCTATGCTAATCAGAAAAGCATGACTGAGCGTTCACTTAAGTATTTCGTAAATTATTTTATTTCACTAAAGATGTAAATGTGAATGAAAAACCGGATTTCAAAAAAGTGTAATATCACGTGTTAATTATCAAAATTTATGTTTGTTTGTTATGAAGCGCAAAGCTATGCAATGTGCTATTTGTGCAATGCCAATCGCAAGTATCCAAACCCGATGTTTAGCGTTTACAAGCCGTTAGACTTACCGCTAAGTTATCGAGGCTAATTATGAGAAACAACGTCACGTACATATATATATATATATATATACTTTATAATATATTATTTATATTATTTGTCAGTTAACATACTACAAACCTGATATTTGATTTATAAATAATGCTTACCATCATTTCCTACAAGATTTGAAAGAGTGTTGATCGTCATAGCCCAGCTTTCGCTTCGGCCTGCAGAATTCACGGCATAAACTACCACTTCAAATGACGTTCTGTACGCTAGATCCTGCAGAAAAAACTGTGGCATTTCGGAAGTTAAATTTGATTCAATTGTCTCCAAGTTTTTGTCATACACTTCAAGGACAAAGTGCTGCTTTAAACCACCGTGGTGCCCTTCTTCACAAGATATTTGAATAGAGTTCATGGTGACATTTTGCACTTTGCAGTTTTTTGGTTTTTCTGGTGGCCCTGAATCAGATGGTTAAGCAATTTTAAGGTTAAAAATATCAAAAAATTTAAAGAAGATTTTGAGTTTTTTATTGTTACCTGGAACAAACTAATTCAAATTTTATCGGCTCTAGAACAAATGATTAACCTAAAGGAAGAAAATAAAAAAATGAATAGTTTAAAAGTTTAAAATACAAGACGATTTTAAATAAAAAAAATCCTCATTTAATAAGATTCTGCCTTAAACATTACTTGTCCAAAGGGAACAATGTTTCACAAGAGGTTATTTGAAAATGATAAATTTTATTAAATTAAATTTGAATATGGTAGATCGAGGATTATCCGAAACTATAATATACTTTTATGCTTTTATGCTCTTCTCGCAAACTAGCATTGCTTTGATGTCGATTTTGCTTTCTTTGTTTCCTGAGATTGATGATTTTAATAAAATATGTGTCACTATGCAGCATAATATCATTATTGTTCGACTGTTCGTCAAATGGTAATTCCAAAGAGAAAATGGATGTCCGTTTCCTGGCTGGTGAGATCCGGACATCACACTAGTATGTTTTTATCTGTGGAGTTTTCTAAATGGAAATTTACATCTGAATAGCTCAGAAAATTATTTGAATCTAAAAACGGCCATTAAAAATTAAATTGGAGAATCGATGAACATTATCTAGAACAGATAAAATCATACATTTATATATACCCTCTCAAACTTTCTTAAATAAGACATATGATTCTCTATGTGCTTCCGCGAAATGTATTTTGTATAGAACGAAGTAGAGTTTTGGAGATAAGTTTGGAAATGGATGTTGTTTTTTTATAATTTCGCTTTATGAGCACTAAGTCTCTCATTTGATATTGCTACATGGAAAAACCAAGTAAACCGTTTTTAAAACTGATTAAATGAAGATATTAAAAATAGTCGACGAATGTTAAGAAGCTTTGAAATATTAATATTATGTACAAGTAAAATATATTTTAGTTCCGTCTTCGCTATTTCATAATTACTTTTACTGAATAAGATTAACAACAACAAAAAAAACTTACGGAATATCATTAATATATTGTAAATATAAATAAACAATGAGTCTTATAGTGTAGACCAGCCTACCTACTGGTGTGATATTAAATGCACACGGAGTAATCTGAGGTCCAATCTTATTGCTGGCCCAACAAAGTAGTATACCATAACCTTGCTCATTTCGTGGAGTAAAAGTTGCTAAACTTTTCGTTAAACGACTTTCAAAATCTATTACATAAGAAGTTTCATAAGTGTTGTTAAAGCCCCATCCGAAGGAAACCTCAGGTGGTTCAGCGTCCACTTCACAAATGATATGAATAGACTCGAAGACTGCTACTCCGAATGACTTTACGTTTGTTGATTTACAAATGGGAGCATCTGGAATATATTTCAATGTAAAACTGACGCACTTGAAATTAAAAAAATACATACATATATATATATATATACATTTAAATCGGTTTGAACCAACTTTAAATCAAATATCCTAAAATTAAGACAAAACTAATAGTAGTAATCTTTTGAAAATCTTCACGTGTATTTAAGTAGTATGATAGTTAGATATTTTGCTTTTTTCATACTAATGAGGCTTATCACACCTACATGTTCTGTTTTAAAATAAGCTGAAAAAATGCATATTAATTTGATACAATTTATGTATAAATGTTACACGTAATATCTTAAAATAGCTATCTTCTGTTCATTTCATTCAGGTTCATTGTATTTGTTATCTACTTTTGTCTAAAAATTTATGAATGTTGTGAAGTATTTGTGTAGTACAAATACTAAACATATTAAATATGCGAAGGTTTCCCAGAAGTACATTTTATTTTTTTTAACGTATATGAAGCAGTGGATTGAAAATGTTATAAGAAAGCGTGGGCAGTAACTAGCGACCCATAATACCAGTTAGGGAAGATGCAGGCTTGAAGCCCATAGCGGAAGTAGCCCATAAAATTCCAGTCGTGACCTAAGGCAAGAATTCTCAGCTCACAGATGTGGTATGCTGAGAAAACGCACGAAGAAATAAGCCAATGTAAAGAAAAGCAGTTAATGGAACTGCGATGAAAGACAAGGGTGAGATACTGTTGATGAAGAGTCCGAGTTGAAGGTTTTGTCTCTATACAACCCTAAGATAATTGTCTCGGATAATCTTGCCAAAGATATTAATTAGATAAGGATCAGAAATATGTTCTGTAAGGACATAATAACAAAGTTGATTTTAGTTACAGCCTGAAGGAGTAGTCTACTTGTTGCTGGAAGACCCCCCCCCCCCTCCTGTACCAATCGAGTTAAAAGGACTACTTTTAAAAGTAGATCTGCTAAACGTCTTGAACAATCTGAAAAAACACTAAAAATTGTGTGTACAATTCCGCGTTTCCGAATCTAAATGGCACTTTTCCGACATGATTCGACTTTTCCGCATTTATCAAGCTGCTTCGGGGACCTAATGTGACTACAGAAGAAGATGTCAGTAATCCAGAATCTACAAGAAGTTCACCACACAAACTCCTTGTAAGTATGCTATTTCTGATCTATTATAATAGTGTTTCTCTTAAGGCTCAATAATGTATAAAGAGAGAAAAGTGAAGAATACTAACTGTATCAAGGAAATGGTAGATTTGACAATGATTAAAGTGGAAATAGTGAAAGATATCTTACAAGAACTGTTAATGCAGTTATATCGATTTTGACCGAAATAATTTCTCGTGTTAACTTAATTGATAACTTAACTCTGTTATTGAATGTAACAGAACATTTAGACCTTCAAAATCAAGAATTCAATGATTTAGAAACAATGTTATTGCAAAACAACCATGAGAGTTTCGATATAAATGAACCGTTCAACTGTATAATAAAGAAGTTATTTGATTGTATTCAGTTGTGTCTGTGTGAGTTCTTTATTCCCCACCTAAACTTCCTCGCGTTGGTGGCTTGTGCGCTCCGAATAAATTTATTTTTAACGAGTGCATAGTTGAAACCAACGACTAAGCCGACGGGCTGCCCACACGCCCGTTACAGTTGCACTAACATGGATACCTCTGCAAATGTCGCACCCAAAAATGTTCGGAATAATACTTCTCCAGTGCATATTTATGCCCTGAATCATCCGAACCTGAAAAGCTTTTTTTATCGATACTTAGTGTTTTCATGGTGAAATCTGGCTCTAACGACGTGAATTTTTACAAATAAGCACTTATTGAAAAGTCCCCATCACTCGTCAAAGATACCCAGCATGGTTGTGTAAGTTGAAGATTCAAATCCTAATTAGTTTAAATTGGCTTGTGAAACCTGGGAAAATTCACTGTTTTGATCTCTAAGTTTACATATCAAGATAAAATAAGTGTCAAATACAATCATTAATAGGTAATAAAGAAGTTCCAAATTGGAGCATTATAAGTAATGGGTTGAAGCTTATTCAAATATTTGTTTGGTAAACTAAAGAAGTTACATATAAGATTAGACTGGAACAAGAAAACTTGTTTCTTTTATATTGCAAAAGCATATAACAAATCCATGTAAAAAACCGTATTTGCATTTAGATAAATTAGGCTTAATGTAAATATTAAAATGTGGGCTTGCAAATTATGTAGTAACTTCTACCAGTTCAGTAATCTATTGATTAATGAAGAAGCTATATCGTGAGCTATCTATTGATTAATGAAGAAGCTATATTTTGAGGTACCTTTAGATTAATGAAGAAGCTACGTCTTTAGCTATCTGCCGCCTAATGAAGAAGCGATATATTGAGCTATCTGTCAATTAATGAATAATTCAATAAAAATAAGATATCAAACTATCAATAAGTTTTCGAAAGATATCGGAAACTAAACTTTTGTTTTCGTTTTTGCTTTATAAATTAACCATTTAATGGTTTGTTTAATTTTTAAAATAACCAAATTGATAGTCATGTTAAGTAGTGAATCTTTCTCGCTCACTGCGTGTTGGTGTAAAGAAAATAATAAAATAATGGAAAATATAATATTTTAAGTACATTCCACTAGAAGAAAATACATGGCACTTTCCCCTTTTCCTACAGCATTTATTGCTGTACAACTGTAACGGCCCTTTCTGGAACGGCTTATGTCTTTCAAAACCAAAGTATGGTTGTTAATTATAATTCCTCCTGAGGTATTGTGTTGGAGCTTTCCTCCTTCAAACATCCAGTAAATCCCTCTTGGCCGAGGGTTGGATTGAACGAGACATTCAAAGTAGATTTCAGAACCTTCTGTTACTGGCTGTGATTTTGTCTTTCCATAAAACCCGAGACTGACTAAAGGAGCATCTGTATAGAAAATATAGAATGTTCTGTATGAATTTTGAGGGTTACTTGTTTTACGAACTTTCAACTTAAGTGACTTGTTACTGAGATTTGTTGCCAAAACAGAACGAAAATACATGCATTATTATTATCAAAATATTATAAATTACTTAAGAAAGATAATATTTTAGGTGTAGCTTACATGTAAGAAGAGCATTAATAATCGAAACTTAATAATCGTAAAAATGCCGTTTTTGAACACATCCAGTAAACATTGCAATTATTTCAGTGTCACTTAATGAAATAAGCCTAGCTATGTTTTTCTTTTTTTTACCTTTAATGTAAGTACAATATTATATCAACTGGTTCATGAAATATTTGTCAGATTTTATCTTTAGGGTCCTCAAAATTTTAGTCAAAACAACAGTCCCAGAAGTAGTTTTTATGAACTCTTTTTAATTTAAATATTTTGAGAAAAATTAATTTAAAATACTTTTTTGTAGTTGATGAAAATGAATAAAATTAATGTTAACACATTTCGAAACCATAAAAATACACGGTACATAATTCAAAACACCAGAAAATTTCAAAGTATTGCGACGTTAATTCTGAAGAAGGAATTACGTAAATACTCGATTTATTTGTAAAATGTATTTTTAGTTAATAGATATGAGAATACTACAATAAAAACAAGTACGGTGCCGTAATGGTTGCTAGTACATAGAAAGTCAAAATCTGTAGTGCTAAAAATATGTGAATCAAATTTTGTTAATAAACCTAATATTACTAATAAGAATACATTAGACTACGGATGATTGTTTGTTTTTCACATACTACAAATTGAAGCTCCAATATTAAATTATGTAATATGTTAACTACATGTGATAGATACCTTAGTATTGTCTTATGTTCTATTCTATAGGCATATGTTGTCGGTCAAGATTGACTATGTTTACATATAATATAGATTCTTAACTCTAGAAGCTCGAGGCCTAGTTACAGATTGACTACTTGAGTTTTAAGTGTGTTGTTTAATTATTATTAACAGTTCAAATAATAAACGGTTTTATGTGTTAACATGCAACTTTTCTGTTTACTAATATATGGTTTTAATGTGATAATAACCTATGCAATAAAACACTTCGGATTTGCATCAAGATAAACGACTAAATGCATATAAGTAAACCAATGTTGTGTTTTAGATTTTCAACGATCAGTGAATCTTCTTGAATTTTTGAATGATCCTTTGTGCAAATTCTTTCTTCACAGCTTATACTGAGATTTAGTTACACGATGCTGAATATTTAATTTACTAATATTATATTTTGTTATATATCTACAATGATATATTAGTCATTTCTATGAAATAACATAAAGTATTTTATTCAGCCAAAACGCTAAAGTTCAGATATTTAATTGATAAAATTATACTACCATAAATCAGTAAAAGCTCTGAAATTTTGAATTTTACTTTGCATAAGAATCAAGTTGTTTTGTGAAACATGAACGACCAGCGGATTGTTGGATATAATAAGGACGCAGTAAAGAAACAACATATATGATCAGGTATAAAAAAAGGTTTATTAAGTAGGGCACTTTATTTAATTGAAATGTGGATTGTAAATAACTAAAACGTTATCCTGACTACAATTACCTTTTTTCTCATTACTCCCCAATCTTATTATTTTACTGCTTATATAAGAAATTAGTTAAATTTGGAGGTTATTCATTCAATGTTATTTATTAATTTAATGATTTTCTTTCCTTCCATACGGCTATCTTACCTCTTCTTCTTTCACTTTTTTATACTTTATCTCATTATTTCTCTCTAATTCTCCTCTTTCTTTCCTTAACCTCTCATGTTTTGTTTTTCATTACCTCTGTTACCGAAGGTGACGTAGGTTATGTTTTCACCCCTGTGTGTGTGTGTGTGTATTTGTTTGTGTGTTTGTTAGCAAGATTTCTCGAAAGCGGCTGAATGTATTTGGATGAAAGTTGGTATACATTTGGATTTGAAGGGTCAAAGGCAAATGTTAAGGTCAAAGCAAGGCCATGAAAATCCAAAAAAATCCCTATCTGTTAACATGGGGACCGATTTTTCACACTATTTTTGCTCTATAACCTAGTCAAAAATGATCGGATTTTGATGAAACTTGGTGGACATATGTAAAATATTATCCCTCATTGTCCTGTCAAAAAATGATCCGTGTCCTTTGATAACGACACACACTCGGGCACATCTTCGTATTTTTTGAGGGCCGAATAAGGTCAACGCTGCGTGGCGGAGATATGAGTTCTACTCTAGTTAAAGCTTGAAATAGCTATGCATATAGATCATTATGCTATGATGTTTTGTTTCATGCGAATAAAGTTACTGAGTTTAAAAAAAGTAAATTTTTTCGTCGTCCACAATGTATCTTACTAACTTATTATTACCAATCTATAAAACACGTTCGATTTATATGACTTCATAATACTATTATTATTATTTCTTTCTACTGCCAGTTCAATGATTTTGTAGAGAATCCCAATAAATTTTGGTAATATCCGTTATTGTTGTCTTATATGTATATATGTATTCTTACAATGAGTGATAAATTATAAATTGCCGACTATTTGTATATAACGATTCTTTAATTCTTATATAATATTTTTATAAACTTGAGAGTTATCATGTCACAGCTATGCATCACTCATTACTTAAGAACAGCTTATATTTCATAATTATTCTGAAAGTAAGTTAAATATACTTTAATTTTATTACCCCACTTTTTGATGACATTATATCTAAGCATTATGTATAAAATGTAAAGGAAATTTCTCGTCCATTGTTCACATCAGAGGAACATAAAACATTTCAAAGTTCAATCAATAGTTTATAACTTAATATTCTAATTTCTTGTTAAACAACGGATAGAACTAATTATAGTTATTATATTTGAAGAACATTATCTTGAAAAGCAATAAATAATCATAAAGTCATTTCTATGAGAAATAAAACGATTACACAGAGAGGTGATTTTCAAGATTTTGATCATAATGGTAGCTGTTTTAACTGGAAATATACTTTACAGAATACCCCTAATAAGTAGAAATCCAATATATGATGGCACTATTTCGTGTATACGCCATCAGAAACCTTATTGGTATTGTTAAACTTAAAACACAAGTTAATATTCAAAGATATTAGTGATTGATATGGCTACTTACAATGAACTATCAATTCACGATTTTCACGCAGTGTAGTTCCAGGCATTAGCAAATTCTTTGCAACACAAGATAGAATTTTGTGGTCGTCTTCAACCGTTGGTGTGAATATTAATGTGCTAATGGTTGAATTGCCATGATTGGAGACAGTAGTTCTGGCATTCTTCAGCTCCAGGTGTTCTTTCCACCACGTAATAGATACTGGTGGTCGAGAACCGGCGCTACGACAGTTCAGCTTTGTTGGAGTTCCTGCTGATAACGGTTGTTGCGCTCCCTCCATTTCTAGTAGCAAAGGTCTGACTAAAAACAGCATTGATTTGGTTCTAATACTGTCTATGTTCTATAATGTTACTGATATTATAAATATAACAGTATCATACTTTTAAAAATATTGATTTTTCTAACTCGAACATCATATCTTCTACATGCCAAAATATTATTGTTCCTCTTTTATACTAAGAAGTAGAAAAAAATGCACTAAATATAATACCACTTTTATCTGTGGTGCTTACAGTGAAAACTATTTAAAGTAAATAATTAGACTCAATTGTTAGAAAATAAAAATGGGTAATAACAGAGTAAAATATTGACTTTTCTGATATCTTATGAGAATTATTCTAGTGACACTCATATATAATTTTAGAGTTAAGAATTTGATAAATGAGTCAAATTTCTAAAGGTTTTATAAAATACAATTCCAAAATAAGTTGTTATGCTATATTATTTTTCAGCGACAAGGATTTTAATAATATATTGTTTATTTTATTACAATATCTTAGATGACCCCAATAATGCATAAATAATATTGAAATGTATTAAAACCAGAAATAACACCATCCAGTTATAAAATTCACAACGTAAATAGAAAATGTATTCGCAAGACACATAGCTCATCAGGTAGGCGGTAGAACTGCCTATGTAGGGATGGCTCTGATTGTTCATCGAAATGGTATTTTAAATATATCCTCAATAGGTCATCAGAACTTTACAATATTATACTATATTGTTTGCAGTGTTTTTGAAAGATTGATATTAGCCATCCCTACATGTACTTTCTTTTTTGAAAAGCTTTTTCTTTATTTGTATACAATAGGAGCTTACAGGAAAACTACAGTTAATAGTAGCTACCTCGATCTGAAATTAAACCAACCCTGCAGTGTAAAGTCAAACTTCATAGACTGCCAAGTTTTCAGAATGAACATTATTTGTAATACAGAAGATGCAAAGAAAACAAATGACACATCACTACAATCCTTCTTGACAATGGATAACCTGAACGTTTGATAAGGAAGACAATAAAAAATCAAACATCAAAAGTAAGCAGGAACAAAATTGCAGACACAAGCCGTATTACCTTATGTTAAATGTCTGTCTGACATAATACAGAGGATGTATAAAGAGCCTAAAGTCGGAGCAATATTCAAAAGCCAAACATAATACAACTGCAGTTAGTATACAACAAACCACTTAAAGACTCAAGGAGAAGAAGAAAACCATTTACTCCAACCCTTGAGAATGCAGACTCTAATTTTTTTTTTAAAAGATCAACAAAAGTTAGAGTTCTGGAGCATAATAGACATACAGATCTTTCTAAAATAGCCCATGTAAGCCAGAAAAAATGACCATGTAATAAAACGCAATAATACCAATATAATGAGCCATACAAGAGGAAAAGAATGATGAAAGAAGCCTTTGACATCTACTTACCTATTCACATACACTTAGTCAACCTAGCATAGAAATCAGGAATGCTTGGGTACTCATTTTGAAAGAATTCAAATAGTTAGCTTATTCAATTACTAACGAGGAAGATCTAAGATGAAAGGATAGCACACCATCCTCTCTATCAGGGAGACACAGGATCGAATCTCTACTACTACCACTAACAAACACAATCCTTCTCAGAATTTCACCGAAGGCGGCAGCAGACGAGTAACCTAAATGTAAGGTATAATATAGTTAGGCACTAGTATGCAGTATTAAAATAACAAAGAAAAACAGAAACTAATTAACGTTTGAAGTTAAATAATAATTTAGATTAAACACCATGGCCACAACAACCTCAGATATCCTACGTTCTAAAATTATGTTACACAATTAATGGAATTCGTATCCAACCATAAGGAACCAAACTGTATTGCAATTGTTACTTCTCGTTGTCTCACCAACTGATTAATGGCAAATGTTTTGAAACATGGAACAATAAAAGAGATATTTCTTAGGTTTCCATCTTAATCAGTGATATAGGTTTATAATAAATAGAAAAATAAAATGTATTAGGTCTGTGATTCCACCAAACCTTTAAATTAGAGATATGATACTTACAATTCATATCCAACGTTACTGTTGATGACAGCGAAGAGGAGAGATTGTTATTCGAGGCAAAACAAGTAAAAGAAGCCATCAGATCATGTCTTCTGAGTGAGGAAATTGTCAACTCATTGACAGTAATCCCTTTGTCTGCCAGACTGTAATTATTATCTAACACCACAGACTCTCTCCACCAAGTCACTGTAGGCATGGGACTACCTTTAATAAAATATACAACACTATTGTTTCAAGTTAAGCTAGGTTACAAGACAATAAAAAACACAACAGATATATATTCCGTGTTAAAAATTAAATGCATATGTTTGAGCATAATATAAAACATTATAATAGACAATCTATTACGTTCAAGCATAAAATCCATAGAATAAAAATAATCATGCATTTTGCTAGGAAAACTTAGACGTCGGTGCGTTTTGAATTACAAGTGTAAACTCGAATGGTAAAATATTTGATTTATAAAATAAAGTTTTGTAAAAGAAATTCTTTTGAAACATTTCTGAGAAAGATATTTCAATAACGTGCCAATAAAATACTATGGAAAAATATTATTCTTAGAAGCTTTAAGATTGTATTTCCGTAATTTTGGCTACAGAAACGATGAAACAATTCAATAAGGCAAATATTTTAAATTTATTTATTTCGATTTATACATGCAGGTCCAATGCATCTCATAATTGTTAACAATATATATTCTAGTTTAAAATATATTTGTATAGATTACATTGCTTAATGTTTTAGAAAATGTTAATTTTAAAGGTTTATTGCTACATTTAGCCAAATTTTGTATTTATTATTACATCTAATAAACCAGCAACAGTAAAAAAAACAATGACATTGACGACAATAGAGATAAACAATGAAACAAATTGTAAAGCAAAGTATTTTAGACGGAGTTTGAATTAATTGTCTGATTATATGTCATTAACATTCAGTGAAGGATAAAGAATAAATCATTTTCATTTGTAAAGAGAAGAAATTACAGTAATTATAAACATGTTCTGTAAAAAGGAATGCTGTTGTTCGCCTTTAGTGCAAAAGCTACACAATGAACTATCTGCGCCATTTATATCGTAGGGGAATCGAACCCCAGATTTTAGCGTTGTAAAACCGGAAACTTAACGCTGGCCTTACGTATATGTCGTCTAGTAATGATTTACTATCATGTTAAAACGTTATTGAGACGTATCACTAAAATGCAAGTGGGAATAGTAAAAGTAGCTTCTTCTTAGTATGTCGTGCTATCGTTTTTGTATTTCTGTATTGATTGTCATTATTTTTGAATGATCGTAATTTTTTGAGGTTCAAGCTATAGATATTCTTGTAATTGTGTGATTAAACTTCTAAGATATTACAACCTTGTTTAAAAACATTCAAAATGATGTATACCTACTCTCTTTCTCTCTCTCTCTATATATATATACACTGAGAGTTAATCGCACATTAGAAGAACAACGCTTTGACTTTGTACTGTCCTTGAAATTACTTCAACTACTGTCAAACATGCTCATTTTGATGACCATAATTATGCACCATTATGCTGACAGCACACTTTTCATTGTAAAAGTACTATGTGAAGAAGCGAGATAAATCTTAGAACAGACGAACTTTCTACAAACTCCTCCATTCGACGTAGACGTCAACTTCTATATAAGGACAGGTTTAAGAAGACCAAAGGCACAAAAGTCCTTTGGAGCTGCATTGAGGGACATGACAGGTATGTGATCGAACGAGATTGGTCTGATTTCTATTTCTTCTGTGAAAACAGCTATTGATTTCGAGATCTAGTTCGGAGCTTCTGAGCCTTAGTCAACTACAAATCTTTGTTCATTATCTAGTTAACAGTACTAGGCTATATGCAATAGCTTTTGGGGTCAAATCGTTCTTTTTCTTAATCATAGTTTTCAATCTGCAGAGGGGACGCTTTGCATCGATTGACTTGGGGACTGCTGCGAAGCAAATGCCTATCTGAATTCTGAGCTCTGTGAGTTTCTCCGCTTTCGTGAAGAACGTTGAAAACTCCTTTTTTTGAAATGTATTTTGTTTAGTTTTGTTGGGTCTACCAAGTTTAAATATCTTCCTGTGCGAATATGCTTTCATGAAAGGGGTTGTGACTTACACCTCCAGCTATAACTGTCACATGCGACACTAAGGCTCGAATCTTAGGTGACAATCTGCTACATTAGTCAAGTTTGAGAACTTTAATGGACTGCAACTGCCTGTTGAAAGAAAAGAAGACGACGTTTAGGCTTCTATCCTGAAGCCTTCTTTAGGTTTGAAAGGCCTCTGTATATAAGCCCAAACGTTGTTTGTTTTTCTTTCAACAGATAATTGCAGCCTATTAAAGTTTTCAGACTTACTCTGCTACATTAACTTATCTAAATAATTTTTGTAAAATATCAGTAACCCTCGTATTTATTCCAAATAACCTTGATATTGCCGAATTACAGATTTCGTTTTAAGAGGATCTTTAGGTTTTCTTCAATAATAGTTTATATAAAGTATTAAATCACTATATAGGAATCTATTAGCGTAAGTAGTAAGATAATGTTGACTGTCTGTATTCGTCTCCCTAGTGAGTCAGCGGTAAGTTTGCGTACTTACAACGTTAAAATCCGTGGTTCGGTTCTCGGTAGTTGACAGAGTGCAAATAACCTAAGGTGTGAGATTACTTTAAAATAAACAGTTAGTATTCATCTTGGAGAAGAAGCGAAGTTTATCTAACTTTATTTTTAAGTATGTGAAAAATATAATACCATATTTAATTAAAATGATATGTATTTATATTGAACTTGAATTTCACATTAGAGTTCTATCTGACTAATTGTAAACTAGGAAAATGTAATAAATTAAAATAGTCTAAGAAAACAGCTCACCTCCAAATACTTCACAGGTTAAAAACAAGGATTCTCCTTCATTGTACGGGCCAATTAAGCTCTTCAAAATTCGTCCATTGTGATCTTTTATAATTAGTTTTGACGGTGGGACTATAAAATAAAAATGTTAAACATAATTAAAAACAACAACAACTAAGAAGTATATGTTTATTATTGTTGACAGTGAATTGATATTTTAGTATTTACAGTTCAACAGAGGTATTTATTGTTCCTTAGCATTTTGTTTTCATAAACAATAAATCTGAATAAAGAAGCTTATATTAACAGTCTGAATAACCGATTAGATGCACGAATTAGAAGTTACATATTTTAACGTATTCTGTTAAAATACGCTAAATAATTCTTGACAAGTATACCAAAATATTGCTAAGAATAGGGATGTTTTTAACTTGTGTTAACCGTTCTTAAGATGTTTCAAATTAAGTATTTTCGTTATATCTATCTTGACACAAAAATCACTTGAACATAGAAAGTGACACACACACCTTCAGGTGATGTGTAGAAATAATCAAAGACATAACTTAGAATTTTCATGGTTTTCGAATATGTATTTGTAGATCTTATTGGTATTGACAATAGAAAATAATATATTAAATATTTCCTCTTAGTTCCTCAACTATTCCTTCATTGAATTAAAAGAAAATCGGTAAATTTGTAACTTTTCTTTACTTTATTGACATGATAACTAATGTAAGTTACGTTATGAAAAAGAAAAAACAAAATATCCTGATGAACAAGTTTCGAAATTTTGCTTTTTTTTACGTTTTCGTGAAACAAATTTAATCTAAAGCTCATTAATATTCAACATTCATAACGTCTTCATCAGAATACTTGAATTCGTTGCAAATAAATATTTATTGAACCTGAAGAAAAACATATTAAATAAAACCTTAGAATAATTCTCGTGTGTCCCGTTATCATTAAAAAAACCAATATGTTTTGTTAAAAAAAGGAAATATAGAACTTTACAAATTTGGAAGCTTGAAAAAAATTATAAATTCTGTCTAAAAGCGTTAAACAGAATTAACGTTTTTTATCTTATTTTGGTCTCTTTATTAGTTACTCAAATTTACATATTATTATTTTTCATTCACTTTGAAAACTTTGAAATACACTAAAGGAGTAAATATCAAATATTTTCTCTGAAATACACAAATAACTTTTCATTTACTGTATTATACGTTTACTGTAAAATATAACGATTAAAGGATTGTGAATTACTTAATTATGATGAAACCTGCACAAATGGTAATTATAATTTATTCAGTAATCAAATGGTTTATTTGAAATGATTGACATTTTTCTAATAAAAATATTATAATTCATGCTCTTTCTGGTATAGTTATAAAGAAACTTCATAAATATTAGTCTAAGTTAGAGTATGTTTGAAGGTAAGCATTTGTGTAATAGAACTACAGTTTATGATTTCAGTTATTTTCTTTGTAATAGGAACGCATTTAAATATGTTAAAATATCAAAAATGTCACTCTAATCACAACACACTTTTTTATACATGGTTACAGCTCCGAAGAACTTTATGTTATTCTCTTGAGCGAGAATACTAAGTGGAATTACTGAAGTAATTTTATTCAGAAAGTGTAAATCAGATACTAACTGAAAAAATATAATTGGAAAACCTAAAAACTAAAAAAGAAATATGGATATTTTAAACAACTTACTAATAAATTGTAACAAATAGTAACACATTCAGAAACTACCACATTATTTATTAGTAACACATTAAGAAACTACCACATGATTTATTAGTAACCCATTAAGAAACTACCACATTATTTATTAGTAACACATTCAGAAACTACCACATTATTCATTATTTTTAAGAAGTGTATTTTTATCATCAGTTAATAATCATCATCCTTTTACAAATAAAAATAAATAACTCAGTAAGCCTTGTATGAAAAGCCTGTGACGTTTTTAATTAATTTTATTGAAGAATCTAACGTAGAGTTCACACCAAACAATTTCTTATCTCCAAAAACATAGGTCTAGGTGCCAAAATCCTCTTTCTTTCTTCTTTTTTTTTAATTTTAACCATTTCTGAAAATCCTAATTTGCTTCAATTATAGTGAAAGGGGTGGAATTTCAGTGAGACATTTACCTAAAGTGCTACTTTCGCCAACATTTAATCAGTTGGTCCTTGAGTGACACTCAAGTTTTTCGAAACTTGATCACACTTAGTTAAAAAACATTTCGAGTTATGCGACTGATTTCAGTTTATCTTTGACCTACATCCACCAAAGGTAAAACGATTGAACAGTTGAGGGACACTCAGTCTTCGTTCCAAATGTGATTAAAATCAGATGACATTTTCTTGAGTTATTTCTATTAATGCACATACTCAGGAGCGAAAACGATACCTCCACTGTTGTGCGAGAGTAACAAGGTTATGCGTGTATGTGTTGTGTCTGTCAAACAATAAAGTATTTCATTTATTCATTAGACCAAATAGCGCCTGGATCATTCTCATCAGATGTTTAATCTTTAAGTAATGTCTCATAATACATTCGCGATATCGCATGATACAATACCCCTATAAATTTTATTATTTTCTAACTGATAAACATTTTATCCTTAGCGATTGCGTATCTCAGACTCAGTTTAAATTGCTCAGCCATTGAGGTTCGCATTGAGAAAAATCTAGAATGAATTTATGTTTATTTAGCCTTGCTAAGGTTCTGTTCACTATATCTCTGTTGTTAGTATGAAGCATTACTTCGTAGAAAAATTATCATAAGATAAGCAATGTATTATGTGATTGTAACCTTTAATACTTGTGCCGCGGTGAAAGGTTCTGATTTAAAACTTTCACAGCGTCGTTCGCCTTGTGTGTGAGTGTTTGACGTACGATATTTATGAATTAGTTTTATTTCATATATATATATATATATATATTGCTTTGTTATTATATTAAAATGCTGTTTTTAAGTGTAATTTTAATCATCACAAATATATATTTAAACTTCACAAATGCTTAGACCTCGTGTTTTTAATTTCATTAGTAAAACACTCTCTATATAGTTTTCGTCTGTGTTTTAGTTTTGTCTATGATTATTGTGAACACACACATATATGTATGCGTGTGTGTATTGAGTACATATTTGTTTTACAAAAATAGATTAATTCACACTAGAAAAATAGAAAACTGAAATCATTACCGAAATTAAAAATCTGGGTGAATAAGATAGACTTCTGAAAAATACACTCCGCCATAGGTTGCAACATGTACACGTAGAAAAAGCTCTTAGAATAGGTAAAAATAACAACCAATGCATAAAAAAAGAAATCGTTGATTGATAATACATTAAATATTTATGAAGCTACATTATAACCTCCCTAGATAGTATCTCGGACATAATTACAATAAAAACATTAGAAAATAAAAAGTTAGTTAGATAGTGAGAGCACTAATTTACAAACTTTGCAGATTGTGCAAACAAGTAAAACTGTTATCTTTATTATTTAGAGATTAAATGCAAATAAACTATGTTAAAGTGGGGTAAAGATGCCGCGCTGCTTATTTATACGCTTTTGTCAAACATTTGTTACTTTTCAGTGCAGATTCTCAAAGTATTTAGAGGGAACGTAGTTTTGTAACTCATATTTTGTTTTAATAGTGTTTAAGCTAAAAATGTGTAAGAATAAAATAGTGTATTTATGTGTAATATGTTGCATAATATTCAAAAGTTTAATTGCATCTCTTTTATAAACACAATAAAGTTAAGTATGAAATAAATTTAAATGCATCAAACCAAGTTTACAATTGATAGAAATAAATATAAATAAAATATATAACGTCCTATGAAATAAATAAATTGTTAACCCTTGTCCATGCGATAAAAATTTGTGTTTTTTAAGTTCATAATTAAATGTTTATTAGTTGTCGCAAACAACATGCTTATTATGTCTTATGAAATGTTAACCCTGGTTACGAGTATTATATTTTGACTTCTTTCATAGCTATACGATATGTTTCTAAACTAGTGCAGTCTAAAGGAATCCACGCTGAACAAAACTGTTAACAGATAGTTAGAATATAAAACATTTGAATAAAGAAAAGGCTAAACCACTGTTACGAAAATAACGTCAAACGCCCCTTCGTCCCATTTTTATGCAAACTAAATAAGTAAAGTTCAGTCGTGTGATCCGAAAGACAAATGAATAGCCGTTCAATCTATACTCGTAAAAGAACTTTTGATAACATTGTCTTAACATGTTTTCAGTCCGCGGTGGCTCAGTGGTAACATTTATTGCTAAACGTTTGGATTCGATTTCTGCAGTGGACACAGCGGGATAGCCGATAGCCCATTGCGTAGCTTTGAGTTAAAATACACACGAGTCAACCAGCAAGGACAAATTGGCGCTGAGTATTGAGGGAATATTGATATATTTTCGACTAAATCTGTCTGAAAGATATATTTTCAGGGCATCATTTAGTTCAGGGAGTGAGCTGGCTTCTCTGTTCGGCCATACCCCAATCCCTTGAGGAAACGTCCGATCAGTATTGCTGAAAGAAGTAGGGGTTATTATCCATTGACCGGACGTGTGGGACATTTGCATCAGCACTTGACAGAAGAAAGGGTCGTATGAATATGGTTTTTTGTATTTTCTAGTATTTATAACAACATACTTCGTGATATAAAGATCGATACATCCATCATAGTTTATTCCTGTTTACATCATACATTCTCCTTCGCATTTGGTTCCAGGTACTCTCCAAATGAATATACATCTGTTACCTGACTGAAGCGTGAAGTGTAGCTTATTTGTAAAAATAATATTGTACGACATACCTTGGTACATGATGGTTTGTACCGCTTTAAACTCTGTGATTCACTTCAAAGTGACATCTAAGACAAGATTTTGCGAGACAACTGTGTATTGTATAGGTTGTATGACAAACCACTTGAATTTCAGATCGTATGACAGATAATAAGATGCTTTATCTGCGTGAGCTGGAGGAGAGTGGTTGTCGTTGATTTATAACAGACGTTTTGCCTTGTAAGAGCTATAATATTTGGAAATTCACTTATACTTTAATTGATTTGCAGTATGCAAAGTAATATAAAAATCCACGAAATATATCAATTATAGAAATACTCAAACTTGCTGTTGTGATTATATACACTAATGTTATGAACTTTAAATAACTGTTTATAGTTTTGTATGAGTTTACTTACTGATTATAAGTACGTTTTTGAAAAAGTTAAAGCTTTTACATTAAGGGAGAATATTTTATTAAACAGGTTCGACGTTTTCATCGCTGGCACGATTATTCTAAGATGCATGAGTTTTAACGATAAAGAAGGTTTTTGTATTTAAATCAGGATTCAATTATAAATGCAAAAACCTTTTTTACTGTAAAAACCTGTGTACTTGAAAATGATCGCGCTAGCGATCAAAACGTCGTACCTTACTGAAACTAATTGAATAATATCAATAGTTTAGTTTCGCCTGGATGGTGTGTAGGAGTTATCACATGAAAGATAATGATCTAAAGTTCTAGTGTCTGTAGTACTATAACAAATAAATTCGATTTGCGATCTCAATAATGTATTCATGTACAATATGCACTGACAGAAAACTTTATAAGGACCCCCCCTCTCACCCAATAATACTTATAGATCTCGCAGTTTATTTGTATATGGAAAATAGCCTGGTCACGAGGGAGGTTGAGACGAGAAATATCTCGGACATTCAAAGGAATGTGATAATGGTTTGCCAAATAAAGATATATTATGAACAAAGATACTTTATTTTGACCACTGTTTAAATACATCTGTTATGAGAATCTGTCAGTAGACGAAAGGTAAAAAGTCTACCTGTAGAAAAAGAAAACAAAGATTGCCTAATGTTGCTAACGAAGTTAAGGTAAAACGATTTACCAGGCTGTATCCCAGTTGACAGATTTCTTTAAAACTGATAGCCCCAATTTGACATCTCAAATTATATTATGCAAATGATATTATCAAAACTTTCATATGACTGTCTACAATAGCTCTAAAAGCCGGTTTCTCAGAATCAGACAAGAAGATGAAAATATGGCCTTAATGATGCTGAGAGTGCAAATACATTTAAGTGGATCACTGGAAGCCCGTGTGTTATAGTGAAATTAGTCGCGTTTCACCCTGTTCTATACTGACGTTAGAGACAAAATGCAAATATTTTGATACATAGTCATTTGACACTGCTGATGTTGCTAAAAAACGCAATTGTGGCAGCATTATTGTCTTCTGATTCCTTTAAAATGTAAACAAAAATGGATAAACAGAGTAGCTAATTCAAATGGAAACATTTCTACCCTGATAGCGATGGCTCTTTAAAAGCTATAGTGCAACAATCCACTTCGCTTATATTGTCGAAGAGTAAGCCGGTTACTTCAGTTATTCTCCTTTGTGACAAGTAGCTATATCAAATCTCAATTCAATTGGACATCTTCGGGATAAACGTGAACGTAGCATTTACTACCTAAAACCTATACCGGTTACTATTCTTGATGAACAGGATATAGTGGAATAAAACATGCCTTTCGGCATTTGTGTCATGCCATGGCCATACATTTATTAGGTCGAAAGATGTTACGAATCAATATAAGGTGGGAGTTCTAATAAGATTTTTGGCTCTTAAAAATATTGGAAATAGTTATTGTATTATACATAAGTCTTGGAGTAAGCGCGCAAAGTTATGATGCAATTTTTGTCTAATATCTATTTGTCATTGTTGTGGCTGTTGGCTGTATTACTGTGAAACAAACAGGATCATTCTTATAGCATTGTGAACTGAAAAACAACAGCAACGAAATTAACTAGTATCTGTTTTCATTTTGTTGTTAATGGCAATGCTAGGTCCACCGTAGGGACCGACCCTCAAATTTTGAAGTTATGAGTTCTCAGGATTACTGATGGGCCATCGAGTAGCACGAAATTCAATAATAATTTACGTTAAACGAATAATTTCTCAATTATGAAGATGATTTGCTGTATGGAAATTAAAACTTACCCCAGTAAAAGTAAAAAAAAAAAATGTTTAAGAATGATGTTGATAATGTGACAGCATATTTTAAAAGCATTTCTAGTTTAATTTGAACGGTCCGCCTGTCGTTCAGCGGTAAGCTTGAGTTGTGTGTTCGAATCTCGCAGTTGGCACAGTGTAGATAGCTTTGCGCTTAACCATAACAAAACTAGTCCATTACGATTTAAATTTCCAAATTTTGCTGGTATTTTCCAGAGGTAGATATAGTAACACAAGAAATTTGCAACTTTTGACTAATTCGTCATTAATATGAAACCTTTTTTTTTTTTGCAAGTATATCATAAAAAATGTCCTTTAATTTTTTCAATACTTGTTTTGAATACGTTATAAAGAAAATCCCTGTAAATTAATGCGTTTCGGAAAATAACTCGAGCTCCGTCAGTGAAGTTATTTTACTTCTACTTTTAGAGTGAAAATTAAAAAAACTAGATACCACTGAAAAAATATTTCTGCTAAATAAATAATCAATAAAAAAACGTTTAATATGGATCAGTAAACCTTTATATTTTGAAACTGATGCAAATAGCCATTGAAAGCTTGTTTGTTTTTCAATTACGCGCAAAGCTACACGAGGGCTATCTGCGCTAACCACCTGGCCATGCCAGGCCTCCATTAAAGCCCTCAGTGGTACAACGGCATATCTGCGGACTTACAAAGCTAGAATCCGGATTTCGATACCTGTTGTGGGCAGAGCACAGATAGCCCATTGTGTAGCTTTGTACTTAATTACAAACAAACAAGCCTCCATTGAAAGCAATATAATTCATAAAACAGGAAAATAAATATTTCTCAAAATATTACTAGTAGTGCTGTGCCGAAATATGTATAACCAAATCGTTGTACTTCTACAATGCTCGTATATATATTCTTGAATATAGTAAGCAAACATATAAATTATTCTTTGGAAATATTATTTTCATAACATTGCATCAGCAAACATTAGCAGAAATAAAAATGTAACGACAGAAAAATCTCATAATTTTATGAATTTTAAAATGACACATAAGCACCGATGTTGTCGTGCCAATTTTTATAACAAATTTCTTGATCTTAGTTAAGTCTGTTGTGGCGTTTGCATGTTGATTAAGCTAAACAATCTATCAAAATGGATACTTAGGAAATGTCTTTATATTTATTTTTGTTATACAGTTCATTGCGTTACCTAATGCTTATATATCTCCATTACAACGAGCACCGAGCATAATGAGACATAATTAAATACAGAACATATTATTTAGATGTTTGAGCGAAAACAAGTGTCAATTTGCCTTGATAGAGTTGCTATTTAAGCACTGACCACTGACCAATAACCTTTAGAACACTGTCCGTGTAGCGTGTTCTTGCTCTGTTGAAATCCACTCTACATCGATAAGAGCCTTCATCTTCTTTTTTCACCTGGTCGACCACCAGTGTGGCAGGTCTATTAGCCGTTGTCAAATAGGCTCTCGCGACCAAATTGTCATTAGATGAATGTCGTGCTTGCCATAGAGGACCTAACCTGGCGTCCAAAGTGTAAATTGGAGTAGGTGATTTGTCTTTATACCACAGGACGAGTGCTGGCTTGTCATTTGGGAGATTGGCCGTAATATTACAAGGGAGTTTCACTTCCTGACCAACCAGACCAACCAGTGTAACTAAAAACAAAAGAAAAAAACTCTTAACAGACAAGTGTCCTAAATCCTTGAATACGTGGATATTTAGCGTATGAGCGACATTATAATTAGAATTAAAAAATATAAATAATTTTCTAAACAGTGAACTCAAATAAAAGTTCCGATTGTAAGTTATCAAGATAAAATTGTTCTTGTTATTATAATCCTCTTATGACAAAATATTCTTATTGCTAAAATAATGGATTAGAAGAAAAAAATAGGACTGTCTCTGTTGCCGTGGATACCCGACCGCAAAACGAATCAGAAATATTTCTCCACCACTAATGATGACTGAAGAAAATACTAAAGTATCTCTGGTGAAGTATGATGAATCATACAAATTTGTTCATGGAAAAAAAAATGGTGTAAGATCTATCAGAAGTGTTGTTTTATATTTTATAATAGTAGTAGTTAACGTGAAATAAGCATTTCTCCTCCACCAGATCATAACAGCAAAATACACAAAAAACTATCCTGTTGCTCACAAGTGCCGCTAATCCATGGCAATTAAATCTGTAAAAACATCTTTGTTATGAAACGTAGCAGTAAGACACATCAGAACATTTTTTGTCACTAATCCATTATGGTGGAATTTCGTCAATAGCTAAGATTATGACCATAAATGTGTCACCCAAGCTCTAACTTGTGTTCCAAAATATCTTGAAAAGACGATGATGATTATCTAGCTGTGTTTTCATATGCACTTCCATGGCTTTAAGGCTATTACTGACAGAAACGGCAGGCAGTCAATTCACTACACCTCTTTCATGTTATGAGTAGTTCACATTTTTCACTATGTTCTTGACAACATGTATTCACTTCCTAGCTTCTTATCTGACGCAACATCTATATTTTTACTTCTACTTCTGAGTGTAGCTGAAGAAACGAAGCATTGAGTACTGCTTTATTTCAAGAACCTGAATATTTTGGGATAAATGCTTCCTCAGTAGAAACAATAAAAAGCACACCCTTCGTCATTCCTCAAAGTTATTTAGCTCCAATGTTTTAATTAGTTCTTAAACTTTCTTTAATACGTTTTTTATTTTATTTTTTTTGGGGGGGAGGAGAATAAACTGTTATATTCTATGTGGTAGGGTAGGATAACAGATATAAGCAGTAGGTATAAGTAATGGAGGTGCTCCATATAATTTGATAATTCAAAATTATCAAATGTTAAAATATAACATAAAACACCCACAATAAATATACGTTTCGCAAACGTTAACATAGCATTCGTCTGTTTAGCTGTTTATATTTGTAAGCAGTAGATATATTTTTCAACACCGTTATAATCTTTGAAACTATATAAATATATATATATATATATATATAGAAAAATGCAATTAAGCTATCGCACGTGGACAGTGTTTTTGCATTCCAGAATACGCATTACAAGTGTCTAACAAATTTAGAGTATATAGTCTGTTTTATCCTTCGTGAAAGACAAATCTGAAATATTTCAATAAATTTTGAAACTTACTTATGGAGATGACACGTATTTTTATTAAATGCTAGAATTTATAAATGGTTCATCTCAACTGTTTGAAAACAGAAAACTTTTTTTTGACATAATTTTTGTGCTTCTTTTATATATAAAAAGAAGGTTTCTTTGTTTGCAGTGAAGCACAAACTACACAATGGGCTATCTGTCTGTGCTGTGTCCACCACGAGTATCGACACTCGATTTTTAACATTATTAGTCCGCAGACTTAGCGCTGTGCCATTGGGTTGGGGGGTGGAGTCGTAGTAAAAAGCGCAATTGCTTTTTTTTCAGTTTATAGTTTTATTAGTGATATTTTTTTATTTGACTGAGTTAGTTGATTTTCCGAAAGTTCGTTTTACTTCAAAATGAATTCAGAAGAGAAAAAACCAAATTCATCTTTCTGGACGTGAAATCAGACACTTTTAGAAATTCAAATCAGAAGATGCTTTTTTGATTTCACAGTAAAATTATCTGGTAATATACAAGTAAAGCTTGTAAAATTCATCCTGGTGGGAAAAGGATATAACAAACATAAGTATATAATAAAGAACTATTATCTCAAGGTTAGATGCAAAATTAATTATGTTTAAAAGCCAACATTAAATGACGTTTAAAAGGGACAACGATATTGATGCTGTTTGATAAAAGGAATAACAGGAGCAAATCCGCGTATAAATAAATAATAAAAAAACAGGTTTAACCTACTGACAATTCGTAATACTTAAACAACTAGGTAAGTTATTTTCATCATTTTATAAATCCATGGTTGGAATTTGTTTTATCTGGAGAACTATTTAATATTAACACATAATACGGACATATAAAACTAATTAAGCAGTTTGCATGAAATGTCCGTTTAAGGAATCGAAATGATAAACACATTTCTAATTCTTAAAAAGAATGTGTGCATAATGAGGCAGTTTATTGTTATTTTATTTTCTCCAAACGTATATTGTTTCAGAACTGAAAAAAAAAAGGTATTCGGGTCCCTGAGAGTTACTTCAGCTAACCGACTATTTTGTAATAGTATTTAGTCAAACTTCAGGGATTATCATATCTATGTGTAACGACGACCTAGTAAATTTAAGCGAATTTGTCGAATGCCAAAGAAATAATTAGATATTTATACATTATTAACAAAAATAATAATTACTATCTGGGGTTTGACTATTTTTTGGCAGTGGAAAAAAAAAGGAGAAAACTAAATGATTATAGTTTCTTTTAATAAATGGTATGTGAGTAGTGTTCTAAATGTTTCAAAACTTGATGTCATTTTTATTTTATAACTCTCAATTTTACAAAAATAAATACATGTATAGTGGGCAAAAATATAACATTCCAGTTTTTCTTAGACAAAATGAACACACTTCTTGCTTCCAATTAGAAATTTTGGAACTCACTTATTTGAGCGTGACGTATTGATGATGTTAAAAAGATTTAGATTTTGGACATTCATGGTTCGCTAACTTCTAGGTTTTACACCTGTAAGCGGTTGATCCTATTCAGCCATTTTTAAGCTTACAGAGATATTTTCTCTATATAGATTTATATTACAAACAAAAAGAGAGATAAAAGGCCACGGATAAAGATTGATAAAACACACTCTCAAAGTAAACTTTGTTTTTAATAGAACGTTTCGAGCGGATGCACTTCATCAGACTTAACTAGCTAAGTCTGATGAGGATCTTACGCACGAAACGTTCAACGTAAAAAAAAAAATGTATGCTCATTTCAGTCTTTAGCTATATTATTTTTTACTTCTTTTATGCCTTGCAGTAACTGAAAAGTTTGCAAAGAAAGTTTTGACACGTTTATATAATTATTTATTTTAACAGACTTAGTTTACAAAATTAAAGTGAATGTAATAGTGCTTGCGTTCATTTAATCTTTGTGACAAAATTGAAGAAACTCAAATCCCCCCAGAAATGCAGTTGGAACTAGCGCCACAGAAAAGGTTCCTAGTTGAACGTTACAACATTTTATAAACTGCTTGAGATTTTAGTCTATGAAGTTCAAGCGTAAAAGCCCCCCCAGTGGCACAGCGATATGTCTGCGGACATACAACGCTAGAAACCGGGTTTCGATACCCGTGGTGGGCAGAGCACAGATAGCCCATTGTGTAGCATTGTGCATAAATTCAAACAAACAAACAATCAAGTGTAAAAAAAATGATACTTTCTGAAATAGTAAACGGAAACAACAGAAATACACAAGGAATGAAAGAGTATAGTTTCTTTATCACTACATATTTGCTTTGTATGATTTCCTCTTGTAATAATCTACTGTACAAAGTTTCTGCCTGAGCATGTATCTAATCTACCTTGCTGCGTCATACAGCTGGAATGAAGTAAGAATTTCGCAATTAGGACAACAGTTTTATGTGTTGTAGATGGCTTTATAATACTTCAGTGAGATGCAACGTTGCATATAATCTTTAATATAAAATGTTTGTGTCTCCATCGATGAACACGTACAGATTTCATAATGACCTTTTATCAATTAAAGAAGAATATTTAGATGAAAACTATATTAAAGATGTAATTTTCGTACGGGAGATATAAATATAGCATACACAATTGAGTAAGTGAAATCCCAGGATGAATCAAAATAAGCTGAATACCTTCGTTGAAGTACCTGAGGTGATGATATTTCGATTTACTTCTAAACTTAGTATTAATTACTTTCAATATACATGCAAACTGTTTTACACATTACATTTACGGCGTTGTTTGATTGGATAAGCTCTGAACCGTGAACGTGGACGCAAAACCTAATTACAAATGTATATCTAAACAGGGCCCTTATATTACCTAGCTCTCCATATACCAACATTAAACTAATAGTGGTACTTTCTGTTTACATTTCATTCTTGACTTGAGCAACAGTTTGTAACGTACGAGGTCACAAGGCTGAGAATGTGAAAAAAGTATGTTGCTTTAGTCGACACAAGTACATTCTTATGTGTTTTCGAATGGTTTGTTTGCTTCGAAACTCCGCGTTACCTGCGGTAGCAGTTCCTAATCTTGAACTGATAGACAAAACATGAAGTACCCAGTCAACAGTATTCACCGTCAACTCTTGTTGAATAATGTGATTTCACCGTTAATGTTATAACACACCTACAGCCTCAATGTGCGGAGTGCGATTTTGTGGTAACGGGACGAGAATGTTAGACCCCCTCAGGCTTCTAGTCAGATAATCTAATTATCATGCTACGCCATTTTTCAACTAGTAAAGTCATGGGTAAAAAGTGTTAAATATTCTAGGTTAAAATAAGGAAACGTTCAGGATAATGTAAGTTAAAATAAATGTTTTATGTTTTATCCTTGAATTAAGGACAAATATTTAGTTGATTTCGCTTGTAACTTAAATTGTTGATATAACGGTAAGTTGAAAATATTTTAACAAAATATCATTTAAAGCGCTTAATGAATAAAAACGAAGAAGATTCGTAAGTTACGCCATTCTACGGCAAATAAACAGTAAATCAGGCAGCCTG